CTGGCGGCTGCAGGGGTGGCAGGAGGGGCAGCCCTCGCCAGCCCTGCCCCGCGGGCGCTTTCGGTGGCCTCAGGAGGTCGGGACGGGAAGAAAATGCAGGTGAGGCGGGCGGGCAGGTCGGCTCGAGGGCCAGCCTCCTCACGGGGAGGAGACAGAGGGAGGCGGGAGCGGCAAGGGCAGGACGCTCTGGCCCCGCTTATTAGCCGCATCCGTCATCCCTGTCACTCCCCAAAGCCATCCCCACAGGCCTGCTCCCGCTTCCCCTCCCGCCCCGAAGCCGCGGGGGAGCCCGGTGCGGTGACCCCCGGGCTGACGTCCCCGGGGCGGGCGCTGCTGCTGCTGTGTCCACTGGGCCCTCCCCAGCTCCCTCCCCAGGCCTCGCCTCCCACGCCCTCACCGGTGGGAAAGTGCCAGGACCTGGCGGGGGCGGGACGTCACCACGGTCTCCATACTGATTCCACCACGGACCCGGGACTGTCTCCCACGGTGTAAACCAGGAACAGCCCCCGAATCATGGAAGATAAGCAGCCACGCCCGGTTCCCCGCCCGCTCACCCCCTCGGTGCCCACCCGCCTGACAAACCAAGGCACAGAGCCCAGCGGGGCACTGAGGGGTCGTCGGTGACCCCAGAGGCCCAGGTGTGGCTGAGGCATGTCTACACCACCGAGCGCGGGCTGGGCTCTCAGCTCTCGGCCGCCCCCAGACCCCCGAAGCCAGCCCCGGCGCCCCGCGTCGGAGCCCCCCCGAGGTCAGCCCCGGCGCCCCGCTTCGGAGTCCCCCCGAGGCCAGCCCTGGTGCCCCACGTCGGAGCCCAGCAGAGCAGTGCTTCTCACACTGTCCTTTGTTCCTGGGAGCCCGGGGTCAGGTGCTGTGTGGCCGGTTGGCCTAGGCAGTCACCGTCTGAACGTCCGACTTCTGTCTTAAAGTCGAACATTCTCGCCTGGCCGTGTGGCTCAGTGGTTGAGAATCGACCTATGAACCAGGAGGTCAGAGTTCAATTCCTGGTCAGGGCACGTGCCCGGGTGGCAGGCTCCATCCCCAGTGTGGGGCGTGCAGGAGGCAGCCGATCCATGGTTCTCTCTCATCATGGATGTTTCTCTCTCCGTCACCCTTGCTCTCTGAGATCAATAAAGACATATTTTTTAAAAATCCAGCATTCTCTGGGGGGGCTTTTTCTTTCTGTTCTCTGTTTTCCAGCACCAGAGCAGAGGGACTGGCCCGCTGTGCCCCGTACACACCCGCCCACCTGCGCCCTCTCCTGTGGCCACATGTTCTCCCTCGCTTCCCCCTCAGCACCGTCGCCTGTGAGCAGGGGGTGCGGGGGGGCAGCACGGGGAGGTCACTGCCGTGTCCTGTGGATGCCCCTGTCCGGCGCTCCTTGTCTGTGACCGGGCTCCACCCCAGCCTTCACAAGAGGTTGTACCGGCACCGGCCGGCTCCTGCCCTGCCGGCCCACGGCTCTGGGCGGCCACACGGTGGCACTGGGGGCGCTTCCTGCCTCCTGGACGCTGGGGACACCTGGTCTCCAGGAAAAGCCTCCAGGTGGACGGCCCCAGCCCTGGGAGCCGCTCAGGGGCAGCTGGATGCAGGGGCAGCTCTGCAGGGCTGGCCTGTCCAGATGCTGGTGGAGGCCTTTCTGATTTCCCTGAAAGGGGAGACGGCGAGAAGGTGTAGGCCCGGCAGTGGCAGGAGGGAAGGTCTCTGGCCCATCAGCAAAATGGGGGGGCTGTCAGCTGTGAGAGGCTGTCAGTTGTGGGGGGCTGTCAGCTGTGGGGGGCTGTCAGCTGTGGGTGTGGAGGCCATCAGCTGTGGGGGGGCCGCAGACAGTGTGGGAGCTCCAGGGGGAAGCTGAGTCCTGCTGTGATGGCCTAAGGGGCAGGGCCGGATCTTGGGGGGTTTGGGCTCAACAGTTTTTTTTTGTGTGTGTACAGGTGTGTGTGTGTATGCATGTGTGCACACGCGTGTGTGCATGCGTGCACACGTGTGCGCGCACACGCGCGTGTGCGGTGTGTGTGCATGTGTGCGCGTTTGTGGTGAGTGCGTGCGTGCATGTGCGTGTGTGGTGTGTGCATGTGTGTGTGGTGTGTGTACGTATGCATGTGTACATGTGTGTGTGGTGCGTGTGGTGTGTGCATGTGCACGCGTGTGTGGTGCGTGCGTGCGTGCATGTGCATGTGTGGTGTGTGGTGTGTGTACGTGTGCATGTGTACATGTGTGCGTGTGTGTGGTGTGTGTGGTGTGTGTGCATGTGCATGTGTGTGTGTGGTGTGTGTGTGGTGTGTGTGGTGTGTGTGGTGTGTGTGGTGTGTGTGTGGTGTGCGTGTGTGGTGTGTGTGTGTGTGTGGTGTGTGTGTGGTGTGTGTGGTGTGTGTGGTGTGTGTGTGTGGTGTGCGTGTGTGGTGTGTGTGTGTGTGTGTGGTGTGTGTGTGTGGTGTGTGTGTGTGTGTGTGTGGTGTGTGTGGTGTGAGTGTGTGGTGTGTGTGTGTGTGGTGTGTGTGGTGTGGTGTGTGTGGTGTGTGTGTGGTGTGTGTGGTGTGTGTGGTGTGTGTGTGTGGTGTGTGTGTGTGGTGTGTGTGTGTGTGTGGTGTGTGTGGTGTGAGTGTGTGGTGTGTGTGTGTGTGGTGTGTGTGGTGTGGTGTGTGTGGTGTGTGTGTGGTGTGTGTGCGTGTAGTGTGCATGCGTGCGTGTGCTTGCGTGGTGTGGCCTGTGCCTTCCCTCAGGCTCTGGGCCCAGTGCCCTGGAGGACATACCTGGCCTGGCCTGAGTGCTGGGCCTCCAGTGGGTCCCACAGCACCGGTCGTCTCCAGGCCCAGTGGCCCCGGCGTGGAGCCAGGAGACGTTGCAGGTGAGGCTTCATGTGCACTGGCCGCACGTGTTCCCACTCGGAACCCCGGCCTGCAGGCTCGGGGAGTGTCTGCCCACCGACCCCGGCTCCCTGCGGAGCTGCTGGGGCTGTTTCTGAAGGACCTGCGGTCCAGTGTCCCACGTGTTCGTGGCCGGAGGGGCCTCTGCCTGATGCGAATTTACCACGAGGGGACAGACCCGTGTGGCGTGCTCAGGGACGCAGTGGCCTGCACAGCGGCCGCTCGGCAGGAAGCTGCGTGGGGCGGGAGCAGCTCAGAAGGACTGAGCCCGCGAGCGGGACTGAGGTCGGGAGCAGATTCTTCAGGAGTGACCGCCCACGGCCCTCAACTCCATGGGCACCGCTCAGGAATCACTGAAACCCTGATCAGCCCGCTCTGCCGCGTCCCCTCTCACTGGCAGCCAGTCCGCAGGCCCCGGTCGGGGTGCACACGGCCCCAGGCCCCGGTCGGGGTGCACACGGCCCAGGCCCCGGTCGGGGTGCACACGGCCCAGGCCCCGGTCGGGGTGCACACGGCCCAGGCCCCGGTCGGGGTGCACACGGCCCAACATGTTGGCCTGTGAGCTGGAGGCGCATTTCTGTGGCCCGTCCTGGACTCGCTGGGCCAGCGGTTCTGGTGGGACCTCCTCGCCCAGGACTGAGGCGGGGAGGGGGCACCTGCCCAGGCCCCACATGCTAGACATGTGTGGTCTCTGCAGCCTGAGCCCACGCCAGGAACGGATGGATGGGTAAGAAAACCGCTCTCATCCCCAAATAGAGACCATTGCGTGTGGAAGCGGCACTTTAATGTGGCTCAGTTGGATGTACACACCCCCCCCAGCGCAGGTGCCCTGGGAGCCTCAGAAGCTGGAGTTACAGCTGGTATATGCTCCCTTATGTTCAGATGAGTTAGCCTCTGTGAGTCATGTAGATTTCCAGATAGAGAAATAGCTCTGGGGAAATTACAGTGAGTTTACAGCACACGCACACACGACACTAAAGACACAAACGATCTTTTGGCATCTTTCTCCTGTTCGGCAGGTCACTTTCTCGAGTCTTGTGGCATCTGCTGGGGCTGGAGCCGGGCAGGTGCGGGAGGGGACGGGGCCACACTGCCCTTTGCACCCAACCCCAGGATGACACTTGCGCGTACTGCCGCCGTTCTCAGACCTGGCTGTCCTGAGTTAATGACACCGATTCTTCTCTCTCTGGCACGGGGGTAGTCAGGCTGACACTCATGGCCATGTTGGCAAACCTGCGCCACCTCCAGCGGCTTGTCTGTGACAGCAGTGGCCAACCTCAGCGGCCGGTCCGACCTGCCGGGAGGCGCTGGCGGTCTCCGCTCGCAGCTGCTCTGCTCTCACGTAGAGGAGAGGCGTGGGGGGCGGCGCGGTCTCTGGACGCCAGCAGCTCCAGGGCGCCCGTGAGAGGGGCGCTGACGGGACGTGGGCTCTTTGGGAACCTCGCGAGGGCCCCACGCACGATCGGTCCCCCTGATGTAGGCTTTCCCGCAGGAAAGTGTTCGTATCTGCTGTGTGTAAACCCGTTTCTACAGCTGAAAACGCTCCCAAGGTTGGGGCTCACCTATGACCTTGCCGAGGCGACCTGTCACCCCCTGCGTGGCTGGGAAGTGCTTGCCCCTGGGGCCCTGCCCCCCGCAGCGGTGGAGGGTGGTGGTGGTGAGCAGTGCTCAGGGGAGGGCAGCCGCCCAGAGCAGGAAGGATGCTGGGACAATTTCGTTATTATTGGTCCCAAAGCTGCAGAAGGTCACCAGTTCTGTCCATCTCGCTCCTGACAGGCCCTGGTCTCTCCTCGGAGGAGCCTCCTAATGACAAGCGGCACCCGCCCCTCCCCCGCGGCCGATGGCCTGGGAAGTTACAGGTCACAAGCCGACTCCCAGGAGCACACATACGTGAGCCGCGCGGTAGAAACACAATAGTATTTGCGACAGAGTGAGAACTGAGCTTTAAGGAAAACGGAATTCTTTTCAAGACGGTGAGGACAGATGGACAGGCTGCCCCCCAAACGGGACGATCCCACAAACCTCTCTTCGTTATTATTTAATTGAACAAAAACACACATTTTAGCCGCTAAGCTGTAGTGCCTACGGGTTTGGGGGCCTTGTTACTAGGCAGTTACGCTGGAGACGCGTATTTGACACGGCGACGCCCGAGGCGGGCGGCCGGGCTGCGGGCCGCTCACTGGGGAAGGGCCTTGAGGATGGCGTTGACCTCCTCGGCCACCGCCGTCAGCGCGAACTCGAACTGCGCCTGCGGGACGAGAGGGGGCGGGCGTCACAGGCAGGTCCGCTGAGGGGGGCGGACAGTCACAGTGCCGACCAGCGGGGATCCGGCCCCAGCCCCTGCCAGGCGGTTACCCCCGCGCAGGAACCAGCCAACCCCTGCCCTGTGATGGCCTGAGCTGAGGCATGGGGACAGGATATGTACACTGTACGTGACGTGTATCATTTCTGCAATGTTTTCCCAGGTGTAACATAGTTTCAAAATAAAATTTATAATTTTAAATAAAAAATGTCTTTTGAAGAAACTTCAAGTAGCACTACGGCTACTTCCCTATTGATCACATAAGATCCCGGCCGCTCTGCCTGTCCTGGGCGGAGGTGATCGCAGTGACCTGCCAGGTAGGGACTCCACCGTCCTCTCCCTTCCAGCTCAAACACTGCATGGTCCCGTTTAACCCCTAACGGTATTAGAGAGGACCGAGGGGCCACTCTCACTTCCGGGGGAACGCAAGGCGGGGCGACGGTTCCCTGTCCCAGGACTGGGCCGCCCGCTCCAGGCACCGCCTGCCCGCATCTTGGCGGCTGATGTCACAGCAGCACCTTTACAACCAGGTCCTGAGGATGGGCAGGCGGAGTGGAAAGGCTTCTCTCAGGCGGGAGCCGCCTGTGGGCACCAGGGGCGAGAGCGGCCGGGCACACCCAGCCAGGGCGCGGCGGGGGGCGGGCGTGGGGCTGTGGTGGGAGGGTCATTTCTGGAATGCATTTCACCTGGTTCTAGTCCTGGTTCCCCTGAGGCAACGTGGTCTTGTCTGCACGCCCCATGCTGCCAACTCGACCTGTTCGGTGAGTGTGCACAGGAGCTATTTAGGGGTGCTCGGAGACCCCAGTGCACCCTGGGACACTCTGTGGCCCGTCCCAGAGCTGTGGCTGTGGGAGCTGGAAATTGGGACTGGGCAGAATCTGGAAGCTCCCCTGCCAGGGTGTGGGGCTAGCTCTGACCTCTTTCTATAAAAACCTGGCGTCTCCCCAGCTCCCCAACTTCTGGGGCCTAGACAGTCCGGCGGCGGGAGGGGCTGTGCCGGCGCCTCCTCCCTCCTCTGGGGGCCCCTGGGCCCGCGCCCACGCCGGGTACCTTGGTCTGGACCATGCCTGGCCTCTGGTCCCTCAGGTGCTCCAGGGTGGCTGCGATGTCGATCTCTTTAGCGCCTGCAAGACACCGACAGCCGAGTTCAGAAGGGAAAGCCCGGAGACAGACCATCGCGCGGCCTCTCTCCGGCGCCCAGTGCCCCCGCAGCGGGGTTCCCGGGACACGGCGGCGGCGGCCGACCCGGAACTGAGGGACCCGGGCTGGAGTCCCACCGACGCCGGCCATCGCCACGGAAACAAACGCATCTCAAAGGGCACCCCCCATCGCAGACATCGCGCAGGCTTTACTTCTTGGGCGCAGGTTTTTATGTGAGAAATGAACAACCAGACCCTCACATTCACCTTACCGGCCTGGACCCGCCGCGTGCCCCATGCCGGGAGGAGGCACCCGACGGCCGGGCTCCCGGAGCCTCCTCGCCGGCACCGGCCGCTTCCTGCCGCTCAGGGCGCGGGGGCGCTGCGGCAGGGCTCGGACCCCCCGCCCCCCGCCCCCCCAGCATGTCTCCGCGCGCCCGCCCGCCCTCCGGTCACAGCCCGTCCCACACGGTGGCGGCCCATCGGACCGGACCGCCAGGCGCAGGGCGTCCCCGCGGACGTGGAGGAGAGGCCCCGAGGGGCAGCCCACTCGTGTCTCAGACACGGACTCGGCAGACTGAGCGGCGCCCTTTCCCGGGCCCTGCCCCATCCGGCCTGAGTCCCAGGTTCAGGGCTTTTCGGGGGGGCTGAGCCGCGGTGCCCCTGTCTGAGCGCAGCAGCGAGAAAGAAAGCGAGGGTCCAGGAGAAACACATTCGGCCCAGGGAGGGCAGGCCCGGCGGCCAGGATCCTCGCGGAACCGCCCGCGGCCTGCCCAGACCCGCGTCCCCGTCCCCAAGTGGGGACAACGGGGCGCAGGCCTCCCCGGGCTGTGGGGACGGTGTGGGCGTGGCAGGAGCTCCCGGGATCGAGGCGTGGGTGTGGGGACACCATGCACCCCACCCAGGGGCAGCGGGCGCCGGGCCTCACAGGAGGAGAGCCCCTTGGGACAGCGGGCGCCCGGAGCTCGGAGGAGCTCATCCCAGCAGAACAGCCCCCGCTCCTCGTGGCCCCGGCAGCTGGTGAGCGGGGAGGTGCCCGGCCACGGCGGGATTTACACACCGTCCGAAACAGACGGGTGAGCTGCAGCCAAAGGGGGCGACCGCCAAGAGAGAAGCCGCCCGGCACCACTGAGAGCCGGGGGTGCAATCTGCCTCCGCATCTCCCCACGGCCACCCACATGGCCACCCCCCACGGCCACCCCCCCACGGCCACCCACATGGCCACCCCCCCCAGGGCCACCCCCCAGCCACGCCCCTCACAGTCACCCCCCACGGTCACCCACATGGCCACCCCCCCCACGGCCGCCCCGCCACGGCCACCCACATGGCCACCCCCCCACGGCCACCCACATGGCCACCCCTCCACGGCCACCCCCCCAGCCACCCCCCACCACAGCCACCCCCCCACGGCCACCCACATGGCCACCCCCCCACGGCCACCCCCCAGCCACCCCCCTCACAGCCACCCCCCACGGTCACCCACATGGCCACCCCCCCACGGCCACCCCGCCACGGCCACCCACATGGCCACCCCCCCCACGGCCACCCCCCCACGGCCACCCACATGGCCACCCCTCCACGGCCACACCCCCAGCCACCCCCCACCACAGCCACCCCCCACGGCCACCCACATGGCCACCCCCCACGGCCACCCCCCCAGCCACCCCCCACCACAGCCACCCCCCACGGCCACCCACATGGCCACCCCCCTACAGCCACCCCCCCACGGCCACCCCCCCACAGCCACCCCCCCACGGCCACCCCCATGGCCACCCCCCCACGGCCACCCCCCCAGCCACCCCCCACCACAGCCACCCCCCCACGGCCACCCACATGGCCACCCCCCCACGGCCACCCCCCTCACAGCCACCCCCCATGGTCACCCCTGCCACAGCCACACCCCACGGCCACCCCCCTCACAGCCACTCCCCCCACAGCCCCCCCAACCACAGCCTCCCCCCACGGCCACCCCCCACCACAGCCACCCCCCCACAGCCACCCCCCCACGGCCACCCCCCCATGGCCACCCCCCCATGGCCACCCCCCACCACAGCCACCCCCCACCACAGCCACCCCCCCATGGCCACCCACATGGCCACCCCCCCACGGCCACCCCCCAGCCACCCCCCTCACAGCCACCCCCCACGGTCACCCACATGGCCACCCCCCCACGGCCACCCCGCCACGGCCACCCACATGGCCACCCCCCCACGGCCACCCCCCCACGGCCACCCACATGGCCACCCCTCCACGGCCACACCCCCAGCCACCCCCCACCACAGCCACCCCCCACGGCCACCCACATGGCCACCCCCCACGGCCACCCCACATGGCCACCCCCCACGGCCACCCCCTAAGCCACCCCCCACCACAGCCACCCCCCCACGGCCACCCCTCCCCCCCACAGCCACCCCCCCCACGGCCACCCCCCCACGGCCACCCACATGGCCATCCCCCCACTGCCACCCCCCCAGCCACCCCCCACCACAGCCACCCCCCACGGCCACCCACATGGCCACCCCCCTACAGCCACCCCCCCACGGCCACCCCCCCCACAGCCACCCCCCCACAGCCACCCCCCCACGGCCACCCCCATGGCCACCCCCCCACGGCCACCCCCCCAGCCACCCCCCACCACAGCCACCCCCCTACGGCCACCCACATGGCCACCCCCCCACGGCCACCCCCCTCACAGCCACCCCCCATGGTCACCCCTGCCACAGCCACACCCCACGGCCACCCCCCTCACAGCCACTCCCCCCACAGCCCCCCCAACCACAGCCTCCCCCCACGGCCACCCCCCACCACAGCCACCCCCCCACAGCCACCCCCCCACGGCCACCCCCCCATGGCCACCCCCCCATGGCCACCCCCCACCACAGCCACCCCCCACCACAGCCATCCCCCACTACACCCCCCCACGGCCACCCCCCCCAAAGCCACCCCCCACAGCCACCCCCCCACGGCCACCCCCACCACAGCCACCCCCACCACAGCCACCCCCCCACGGCCACCCCCCCCACGGCCACCCCCCCACGGCCACCCCCCACGGCCACCCCCCTCAGCCACCCCCACCACAGCCACCCCCCACCACAGCCACCCCCCCACGGCCACCCCCACCACAGCCACCCCCCACCACAGCCACCCCCACCACGGCCACCCCCCCCACGGCCACCTCCCCATGGCCACCCCCCACCACAGCCACTCCCCACCACAGCCACCCCCCTCACAGCCACCCCCCCCCACGGCCACCCCCCGGCCATCCCCCGCCACAGCCCCCGCCACACCTGTAACCATAGGAACAATGATGTGCAGAAACCCGCTGCTCTGAGAACAAGTTTTCTCAGTCAGCGGTGGCTTGCGAGCGAGGGGGCCAGAGCTGTGTGCCGGTCCCTCACCCAAGGACATATATACATTTTAATATGTTTTTATTGATTTCATAGAGGAAAGGAGAGGGAGAGAGATAGAAACATCAATGGTGAGAGAATCACGGATTGGCTGCCTCCTGCACGCCCCCCACTGGGGGTCGAGCCTGCAATTCGGGCCTGTGCTCCGACCAGGAATCAAACCCTGACCTCCTGGTTCATAGGGTGATGCTCAACCACTGGGCCACACTGGCCGTCGTGAGGATATTTTTTCTATTGACTTTTAGAGCGAGTGCAAGGGAGGGGGAGGGAGGGAGAGAGAAACTTCGGTGTGAGAGAGACACAGCATTGGTTGCTTTCCAAACGTGCCCCACCCGGGACCAGGGATTGAGCCTGCAACCCAGGTACCTGGCCTTGACTGGGAATTGAACCTGAGACCCTGCAGTGTGCAGGCCGATGCCCCCCAGCTCACGGGCCACGGAAGGCCACAGCGGCTCTTAGCTCGTCAACCACGGAAGAGCACGCCTGAGAAGAGCGTTAGTATTGAAACGATTGCTTACGCAGTGGTTCTCCACCGTGGGTGCACATCAGAGTCCCCTGGGAACCTTTTTAAAATCCTGATTTCTGGGCCTTATCCTCCGGAAATTCTGTTTCTTTGTGACTAATGTTGTGCCCCCCCCCCCCCCCCATAACAAAGAAACAGAATGTCCGGAGGATGAGGCCCAGAAATCAGGATTTTAAAAAGATTCCCAGGTGCTTCTCATGTGCAGCGGAGGTGAGAACCACTGGCTTACAGTGACTGAGGTGGAGGGACACCGGTGCTGTCAGCTTTGCTCCGATTTTGCGTGGAGCTCGCTGCTGGCTGAGCGCAAGGCGAGACTCCCCTAAGTCTGTCTGCCCACGGCGTCCGCACGGCGGCCCTCACTCGCGCTCACAGGACCATCATCAGCGCAGGCACCTTGTGAGGCGCTCGTCCTTCTCTCCGACCTGAAAGGCCGTCCTGTGCAGGAGGGAGGGGCCGCGAGGGCGCGGGGAGCTCTCCGACCGCCGCCCCCCAACTGGACCCCGTGGAGGACCAGGCGGCCCCTGCGAGTGAGGAGCTGAGCTTCGTCCATGGCCCCCGCGTGTCCCGGCTGCAGCGCGCGGTGCAGACGTCCAGGCGCGGGGCAGGGGCAGCGGGCGGGGCCCCGCAGGTGGGCTCACTGGCTCCCAAAGCGTGGCCTAGCTGCGGCCTTGACCTGCTACTGAAGTCAGCATCTATGCCTGGCCCACAGTGCGGCTCAGTGGATAGGGCGTCGGCCTTCGGACTGAAGGGTCCTGGGTTCTATTCCGGTCAAGGGCACATACCTTGGTTGCAGGCTCCTCCCTGGCCCCAGTACTGGTTGGGGCTCGTGCAGGAGGCAATCAATGGATGTGTTTCTGTCACATGGATGTTTCTGTCTGTCCTCCTCCCTTCCACTCTCCCTAAAAATTAATGGGGGACTACCCTCGGATGAGGGTTAACAACACAGAACAACAGTTAACATCCAGCCCGGCTGCTGCCTTAGTGGTCAGAGCGTCGGCCCAAACACCAGGGTCCTGGCTTCCCTTCCCGGCCAAGGACACGGGCCTGGGTGGCAGGTTCGATCCCTGGTCCCGGTTGGGGTGCAGGTGAGAGGCAAACAATCTCTCTCTCTCACATCTGTGTCTCTCTCACATCTCTCTCTCTCTCTCTCTCTCTCCCCCCCTCCCTCCCTCCTTCCCTTTCACTCTCTCTAAAAATCAGTGGAAACATATCCTTGGTTGAGGATTAACAACCACAACAAATGAGCCAAGGACGTGAACAGATGTCTCTCCACAGAAGACACCCAAATGGCCAGCAAGCACTCGGGGAGCGCCCAGGAGAGGGCCTGGGGGGGACAGAGCAGCGCACGGGGGAGGGGAGGGAGCAGCCGGGACCTCCTGCACGGTGGGTGGGACGTGAAATGGTGAAACAGTGCGGGGCTTCCTCAGACAGTTACACACGGGACTTTCCTGCGACGCAGTGATTCCACTCCTGGGCAGACCCCGCAGGAGAAGCAGACACCTAAAGAGATGTTTGCACGGCCTCGTTCCCGGCAGCCAGGAGGTGGAGGCCACCCGGGGTCCACTGGCAAGGGGTCCATCCACACAGTGGGGTACCATTTGGCCTTAAAAAGGAAGGGCAGCCGTAACCAGTTTGGCTCAGTGGATAGAGCGTCGGCCTGCGGACTGAAGGGTCCCAGGTTCGATTCTGGTCAAGGGCATGTACCTTGGTTGCGGGCACATCCCCAGTGGGGAGTGTGCAGGAGGCAGCTGATCAATGTTTCTCTCTCATCGATGTTTCTAACTCTCTATCCCTCTCCCTTCCTCTCTGTAGAAAATCAATAAAATATATTTAAAAAAAGAAAAAGGAAGGGCATTCTGTCCCAGGCCACGGGGCGGCTGAGGACATCACTCTGACTGTCAGCCCGACCCTGGCGGACACGCTCTGCGCAGTCCCGCTCACACGAGGGAGTGGGAGGCGTCAGGCCCACAGAGGCGGAAAGTGGGTGGGGATCTGCCGTCCCCCCAGGAGGTGCAGCTGGGACAGAGAAGAGCGGGCAGAGAGGGGAGGGAGCTGGACGGAGGCCGTGTGGGCCCGCACGCCCGCTCCCCTCCACAGGGCAGCAGCACCCCCAGCAGCCTAAGCTTAAATGGAAACTCTGGCTCATTCACACCCTGAAGGAAATTCCAGTCCCTGGGCCCCTGCCAGCAAAAGAAACTGCCTCCCCACCACCTTTGGGCTGCTGGCACCCAGAGAGCGGCTGGGGGGTGGGGTGAGGGGCGGCCCTGGGTGAACAGAGGGCAGTGCCCCCTGAATGACCCACAAGCGAGATCTTTAGGAAGCTCCACTACTGTCCATTATTTGAAAACACACACACACACACGCACACGCACACACACGCACGCACCAGCCCTGTTGAAACAGAACAAAGCAAACCCCTGCATACAGAGGAGCCCTGGCGACACAGCCTGGCAGCCGCTGCTGAGAGGCATTGCTGCACGTGGGAGTCTCCAGGACAGAAACACGCTCCCTGACACGGGTCCCGATCCAACATTAATGCAGGGTTAGAAACACGTCCACAGCCACGAAATAAAAGGGCCACAGGCTCCCTGCTGGTGCAGATTCTCCCGCCACAACTTGTGCGACCCTGAGCTATTCCTGGCTTCCAGCTGCTCATAAAGGAGACAGCGATTCCCAGTTTATTTCCCAAATGCCCCCAAAGGAGCCTTAATCCCCGGGCCGCCAGCCCAGCGAAGGCCGAGCCAGGGCCCGACGCCGGCTGGTGCGGGAGGCTCTGCAAAGGCATTCTTTGGTCCTCGTGCAATTCATTTCTTTCAGAAAAGGACACGGGAAGAAAGGTTTCGCGTCCAGGCTTTGGGCCTTTGATCATTTGATGAACGGGGTCTGCGGGCCTCTAGCGTCTCAGGAGGACAAAGGCGCCAGCCGGGCCTGCGTCAGGACAAAACCCAGAGGCCACGCAGTGTGGCCCTGGGAAAGGCCCTTGGCTCGGCCGCCCTGCCCTTTGATCTCTCCGGAGACCCCGGCTGCCTGGTCAGGGGGTTGGACACCACAGGCCCAGGCAGAGGGGGCCGGTCAGGGACAGGATGGGGGAGGGATCTCAGGAGCGGCCCAGCTGGGCCCATTGTGGGAGCCGCCCACACTTGGGCGGATCTGACCTTGCCCGGAGCCAATGGCTCCTCAGCAGTGAAGACAAGGCCAGCCCTACCCCGGGCTTCTCTGTGCAGCAGACCTGCGCCCTCAAACCCAGGCTCCCCACAAATACCGAGCCCACGCCAGCCGAGTCCCACAGTCAGCAACTTCCCTCGGACCAGCCAGGCTCCGCGTGACGCAGCCGTGTGCCCCGCGGGTCTGTGTCCCCATCTCACAAACACAGCGGCATCTCCTCACGCCAGTGCCTGTTCTTCCGAAGTAGCTGGTGAAGAGAAGGCAGACCCCAGGCACGAGGTGGACGGGGAGGGGCGACGACCGGGAAGGAACCGTGCCTCCATCGAGAGCCGAGTCTTAGGCAGCAGGCTCCCAGGACAAGACGTGTCTGATGAGACGCAGTGGCATTGGCGGCAGGAGCGAGCCCCTCCCCTGAAGGCTGGGCTGTGTGATGGTCTAGGTGGTTGGCAAACTGTGGCTCGCAAGCCACATGCAGTTCTTTGGCCCCTTGAGTGTGGCTCTTCCACAAAATACCACGTGCGGGCGCGCACATACAGTGCGATGGAAACTTCGTGGCCCATGCACAGAAGTCAGTATTTTGTGGAAGAGCCACACTCAAGGGGCCAAAGAGGCGCATGTGGCTCACGAGCTGCAGTTTGCCAACCACTGGTCTAGACTCTAGGATGAAAGTGCTGCCACACGCAGGCGAGAGCAGGTTCTGTGCCAGTTGTTTGCTTGCTTGCTGCCAGCCAGAGCTCGCTCAGGGTTGAAGTAACATTTGCTGGTGAAAACCAGTTCCGTTCTCCCCAGCGGCGGCAGGGCGCTGGGCAACTTACTCAAGCTCGCCAGTCCTCATACTAAAAACAATAGGCTACGATTCTATCTCCCCACCTCTATCTTGGGCTAAAAATGTGTTCCATTTATTTTTTTAACCAGAAAAAAAAAGGAGAAAGGAAAATGCCTAATTGAGAGTTGCTGGCCCTTGTGTGGACAGGTGTAGACATTCATCTCTGTAATCGGAATCCGGGCAATGGATGCAGGGATGTTCAGGGAGGTGGGAGGCTTGACAGACATACGTGTGCATGCACGCATATGTGTGAATGCGCGTGTGAGTGCATGGATGTGTGACTGCGTGTATATGTGTGCACATGCATGCGCATGTACATGAGTGTGAGTGCATGCATATGTGCACGTGTGTAAGTGCATTGTGTGAGTGTGCATGAGTGTGTGTGCACGCATGTGCTGCGATAGAACGGTTTATCCATGGGGGAAAAGAGACCATCGCGTCACCATCTCAGGGTCCTTCCCGAGCTGCCTGGGCTCTTGCCGGGGCCACAGGACGGTGCCCTCCAGGCACGGCTGGGAAACGCTGGTCAGGGAATTGAGACAAGCCCCCCCGCAGGCCCCGGTGTGCGCTGGTGCGGCCCTGTCCGCACCGACCCCGTGAGGGTGAGCGCTGGCTCCTAGGGAGACACCCCGTTTGTCCAGGAGACGCCCGCACATCTCCCCTGGCACGGAAGCGGGTGCAGAGCTTTGCGGGAAATAAGTGGTTTAGTGTGACAATCTCGCCACCAAAAGTCTGTGACTCTAGAATGTTCCTGCAAATACAGCTCATAACAGGGATGGTTTGGGCAGAGCCTGAAGGCCGCTCTGAGCCGCTGCAGCTCTAGGGGACCGAGGCCGCCTGTGCCTGCTCTGCAACGCTCACCAGCGCCCCCTGTGCGCCAACCCCCGTGTCCACCCACGGACGCCGGGGACAAAGGAGGAGCTCAGGAATCACGGCGCCGCTGCAAACAGCTTCACACAACTGAGAAAAGGGACCACACGCTCATCTTCCCAGGCCTCTGGGAGTGCAGGTTGCCATAGCAACGCATCTCGCTCCAAGTCCCCGCTAAGCGGAGCCTTACCTTTGGCCATCTTGTTGAGAACCATGTCGATCAGGATGTAGGTGCCGCTCCTGCCCGCGCCATCGCTGTTGACAGAAGGAGAGAGGTGAGAACGCCACCCGTCCTGGTCCCCCCCACACCAGCCAAGCCAACACCAGCCACTTCCTCCTGTGCTTGGGGGGGGGGGGGACGGGAGGGCTCTGAGGGGAAATGGGGGAGGAGGAATCACAGGGTGGGAGGGGGAGGACAAAGAGCAGAAGGAGGAGGAGGAGGAGAAAGAAAAGGAGGAGGAGGAAGAAGAGGAGGAAGAGGAGAGGGGAGGAGGAGGAGGGAGAGGATAGAGAAGAGGAGGAGGAGGGGGAGAGGGGGAGGAGGGGGAAGGGGAGGAGGAGGGGGAAGGGGAGGGAGAGAGGTGGAAGGAAGCAGGAAGCGACATGGATTAGCCAATGTGCCTGTGTAGATTGGTTCCTCAAAGAGGGGGTAAATTTTGTCTAGAAGAACGAATAAAGGGTCAGGCGATGCATTTGTGTGCAGGGCGAATGCCCTGAGCTCTGACACAGCCTCGCGGCAGATGCCGGTCCTGGCATCAGGTGGGGGTGGTGGCCCCACCACACAGGACACCGGGGCTCCTGGCAGAGGGGGACAGCCCCTCGTCCTCCTCACATTTCCGCTCACCCGCTCCTCACCCCCAGCAACCATCGGGCAATGTACACCCGGACCAGGCGGGAACATGTTTGAATGGTGCCTCACAGCAGCACACAGAGGAACATGGGATGCCAGACCCCACCCTCTCCTCTCAGGCCACGCGGGACCACTCCTGTCCCAGGCACGTGCCACCCCGAGCGGCTTCAAACGCAGGATTTACATGGATACTCCTGGCAAAACCAAGGCGACTTCAAGGAAAAGACCTGAGGAGCCCCATGACTAAAGGAGGAATCGCGTTCTTGGTCTCGGGTTAGAATGGCAGGACCCCAGGAGGCACCGTGAGCCGGTAGCAAGACCCACTGTGTTTGGCTTTGACATGTTTCCTCAAACAAATGGTTGAAAAAGCTGCAGCTGGTAAGGTGACTCCCCCCCCCCCCCATTCCCCCCGGCCTCCCTCCAGGGACCCCTCCCTCAGCGGGTCTGCTCACTTCTCTTCCACACAAACTTCACACGAGTGTGTGAGATCTACCACCCACCCTCCAACCGCTGCTGGCTAGGCCACTGGGTAAGGTCCGTTCTTGGCTTTGAGGAAACCAGATTGTCTCTGCTCTCTTCCTCTCCTCCCAGACCAACAGAGACCCAGACATGGACAGAAAGACACAGAGACACACAGGCTCACACAGACACACACAAACACATACACAGACCCCCACACACAGACCCACACACAGACATACACACACACACAGACACATAGACACACAGAGACTCACAGACATACACAGACACTCACAGACACACACAGACACTCACAGACACACATAGACACACAGACACAGACACACATAGACACACACAGACACAGACACTCACAGACACAGATAGACACACACACTCACAGACACACATAGAAACACACAGACACAGACACAGATAGACACACACAGACATTCACAGACACAGACACTCACAGACACAGATAGACACACACACTCACAGACACACATAGAAACACACAGACACAGACACAGATAGACACACACAGACATTCACAGACACACATAGACACACATAGACACACACAGACACAACCCTCACAGACACATAGACATACACAGACACTCTCAGACACAGATACTCACAGACACACAGACATACACAGACACACACAGGCACTCACAGCACACATAGACACTCACAGACACACATAGACACAACACTCACAGACACACATAGACACACACAGACACAGACACACACAAACACTCACAGACACACATAGACACACACAGACACAGACACACATAGACACACACAGACACTCAGAGACACACAGGCACACACACTCATAGACACACACAGACACTCACAGACACAGACACACAGACACACAGATACATACAGACACACACAGAGACATACATATGCAAGACACACAGACACACAGAGACACAGGCATGCACAGAAATAGACACATGCATCACACATCATGCACACACACACGTGCACACACAGGTCTTGACAGGCATGGTGTTTGATGCTGAGACACGTCTCCTGGCGGAAAGGAGCCTCCAAGGTCATTGCAGGAAGTGGTGTGGCTCCCGCCGAGGCAGGTGGCTGCATCCTCCCAGCTCTGACCAGTGGGCATGGCCTGCAGGAGGGCCCGAGCCTGGAATTTCCACCTAAAGGCCGGGCTCACGCCGGGAGCCGCAGTGGACACTCCTGTGCCATCACAGGTTCTGTCCCGCTCACAACCGCCCTGTGCTCCTCACGTTGGCAACAGGTTCCAGCTCGGCCAAGACAGTGCGACAGATCGGAAACGCCGCCCCGGATGCCATGTGGTGGCTCCACGGGGGTAAGAAAACCCGGTGGCGACAGACTAGTGCCCAGCTCAGCGGCTCGCCACGTGCGCGCACACGGCATTGGCCCCCACGGCATGGCTGCACGAGCTGAGGGCGGCGCGTCTCTCTCTGGTCTCGCGACCTGCACCAGGCGGACGTGACGGCGGAGCCACCAGAAAGCTGGACCCTGTCTTTGCAGTTGGCGGGGGAGTAGCAGACGCTGGGGAACCCACGCGAAAGGTTGTACTTGCCTGCAGTGAACAATTATTGGACAAGAGCGGCCTTTGTAGCACTTGTTTACTTTTCTGAAATAGAAAGAGAAGGAATTACAGTTACGCACGGCGACACCTCCGCCGCGTTAGCCAAACCACCGCTAAATCAAAGCAAACACACCGCAGCGGGACGCCCGTCTGCGGCAGCTTGTTTCGACAAAGAAATCGAAATCACACACACATTTTCAAAGGTTTCTTTTTCTTTTCAATATTCAGTGATAAACAGAGTTTTAGAAACAGTCAAACAGTTCTTGCACGTTCCCTTGTTCCTTTCCCCTTTACACGCATGAACTCCAGGCCTCAGGTCGAGGGGCAGTAGCGCCGCCACCGGGCCCCTCTCTCTCGTTCCTACAGTTAATCTCACTTTTTTAAAAACTGTGATGGGTGCCCAGACTCCTCCCTGAATGTGAGAGTTCTGTAATATCTGCTCAAAATCCCTTACAATCTAGACATCATGTCAGAACGGAACACTATTATTCTGTCTCCGACAGCGCCTTACAGGGTCCCTTTGGAAATGAGGCTCTGAAAGGGTGTCTAATGAGGAGAAACCTCAACCGCATTCAAGACAAGCCTTCCCTGTAGAGAGCCCCTGGGAAGGCACATGGGAATTTCTTTAATAAACTGTCAGCTGAATCCAGGGCGGTAGGCATCTTGGATGCGCATTTTGCCAAAAAGGCAGAAGTGTTCTCAGCTTGACCTTCATTTCTGCCCAGGTGCCTGGGAGTGGGTTTTATTACGTAAATCCAGCCAAGCACCAGGAATGAAGAGGACTCGGGCCCATCTAAGAATGCACATGATCTCCTTTGTCTTGACCTTTGGTGAAACTTCCTGGTATTTGGGTATAAAATAAACACGCTGGGTGCTGGGTCCCAGTCTCTCCATCTGAAGAGGGCAGCAGTCCCACGCGGCCCCAGCTTTTTCCTTCCATCTCTGTGTCTGTCTCTTTCTTTCATTTTCTCAATCTCCAGCCGCTCCTACTCAGGAACCGGACCGCTCTCTAGCCGCGCTGGACGTGGGAAAGGGAGAACCCTCCATGCTTCCCATTTCAATAAATTTGGGGATGCTTGGAAACATCTTCATTGTGCAGATTTTAGGTCAGAATTTATGAAAATCAACAATAAGCACAGATTGAGATTTTATAACTACATCAAGACAGAGGCTCATCTGAAATTCACTGTGCAAACTCCAAAATTGTTTAAGCCAGTGAGACAAGCCAGCCTGTTTAGAAAAGGCATGAAACTGCTCAGTGGATGGCTCTGAATGAAGAAAAAGAGAAAAAGAGGTGGGTCTGGGTCCTGGAAGGAACGGTGAGGGTGTGTCTGGAACTTGTACCGCAGGGGACGTGAGGCAAAGGTGGAAAAGAGTAACAGGCCAGTCTTGTTCCTCGTCCTGAAATGGGAAAGTGTCACGCTTCTTTGCTTGCTGGCTCAGTGAGAAACAGTGGCTCAGTTGAGTGGGCATCATCCCTGCACCGGAAGATTGCCAGTTCGATTCCTGGTCAGGGCACATGCCTGGGTTGTGGGTTTGATCCCGACTAGGGGACGTAGGGGATGTACAGGAGGCAGCCAATCAATGGTTCTCTTTCACAACACATTGATCTCTCTCTCTCCCCCTCTCTTTTCCTCTCTCTCTAAAAATCAATAAAAGTTTTAATCAACTGGCTGCTCTGGTACAAACCCAACAAGCTGAGAGGACAGGATCGGGGGACGGTGGGTGACCGGTTCATGACAAAACCTTGGTTAACCTTGTGCAGCCTGAGCATCGTGCTGTGTTTTCCTGCCTCCTTTAGGGAGTGAACAGACGGGGTCCTTCTCAGGGAGGCTGACAGCCCTGAACGCACAAGATGCGCCCTGCACAGCATGCACCCACCCGCTCTGGGCAGTTTGGGACTTGGCTGCTGCCTCCGAACACGCTGTTTAAAGCTGCAGGCCCTCCAAAGGCGGCCTAACCATGAGGAGCCTCAGGAACGCAGGGCAACCAGCTGCCCAGTGTCCCCAGGGCCACACCTCCATTCCTGCCGGAACCCCCTTGCTCTGGGTGCACATTGCAACGTTACCTCGGGAGTGGTGGGAAGTCACGGTGAATGCATTAAAACCCGCAGCACACGGGAGCCAGATGCCTTAGGGCAGTGATGGCGAACCTATGACACGCGTGTCAGAGGTGACAGACGAACTCATTTTTTTGGTTGATTTTTCTTTGTTAAATGGCATTTAAATATATAAAATAAATATCAAAAATATAAGTCTTTGTTTTACTATGGTTGCAAATATAAAAAAAATTTCTATATGTGACACGGCAGCAGAGTTAAGTTAGGGTTTTTCAAAATGCTGACACGCCGAGCTCAAAAGGTTCGCCATCACTGCCTTAGGGTCTTGGCCCTTTGAGAGTAAAGCAGGTGGAAAGGAGACCCACTCATTTCTCCTGAACCTCCCATTTTTTACTCGAGATGCAAAGGCAACGTGAGCATCACCGCTAGCAAACCTATGCCAGACCTCGTACCCCAAGGGTGAGTACGTGTGTTTGTGCAGGTGTGTGCCCGTATACAAGCACGTTTGTCCACCCATGTGTGCGCATGTTTGCAAATGGGCGCACACATGTCTGTATGACACACACGATTGTGCACACACACGTCTGTGTTTGTACACACATGTGTATGCACGCGCACACATGCACAGGCTTGTGCACATGCACACACACATGTATCCATTCATGCGTGCATGTTTGTCCACCATGCTCATGTGCATTTGTGCATGTGTGTGTTGGTACATGTGTTGTATTTGTACATGTGTGTGCATGCACTGTGCCTGTGTGCGTGTGCAGAATCAAGCAAGCTCAGTGGTTGGGCACAATTAGGTGGCACTTTTCTACAGGCCTTCGATGTTCAAACAGGAGGTTTTACTGGAAATTTCTCTGCCTCTGGCTGTTTCCCTTTCCTTTCTCAGCTGCTGGCTCAGCTGTACGCCCCCCTTCGCTCCATAGCCCAGGCTCATTTGTAAGGACTACACTCAACATCTCCACGGTCACACACTGGTCAGTCACAGGCCGTGGTCATTTTTTCTGATGGGCCCAAGCACAAAACATGGACACTGAAAAAGGAAATAAATATAACCAGATGTCCTTCCTTAAACTGGGGGTTCAGAAAACGTGGGTGTGGGGTGTCGCTGCACAGCGCCCCTTTAAGGCTGGTCAGCACATTGGCAAAACGTAGCCAGAAAACCTCCCTGGCTCCCGGGGCTCAACGTGCTCTCCCGTCTTCGCTTTGTGATACACTTGAGGTGTTTCCGCCAACGCGTGCTGGCTGCCTGCTCAGCAGCACCTCGGAAGGTCTCGTTGTAATTGTAACATCCCTCCAGCCGCCCGTGCTAAGCCTATCGACAAAGGGCCAGGAGATGCCAGTGCAAGTACAAGGTGCTGCTACGCTGTGGAATTTTATTGACAAAGAATCAGGTGCTTGGTTTATTATGAAGTAAAACACCACAACAGAAGAGCAACAACATCGCGCAGTCAACAGAAGCGTTCATCTGGTCGACCCAAGACAAGGCAGAGTATCCGCTAAGACGAGCCATGTGAGGCCGCCTCCTTTTACGCCATCAGAACCAAGTGTCAGTGAGCGAGGCCGCACATGGAGACACAGGAGGGCTTCTCGGAGGAAGGGTTAGTGATACAAACCAACCCTCGGTCCCCGAACGGCAAGGAACAGCAAGCAAGGTCAGAGGTCGTTAGAGGCTCAGAAAGGGTCCCCACACTGCCCCTGCAGTAGAGTCACAGTTTCCAATGATCACTTTTGTGACTATGCAACTGGGCTCATATTACTAGCTGCAACGCCACAAAAATGACACCGGCCACCGCTAATGAGCTGGCAAAGTAAGGGTTTGTCCAGTTACAGCGAGCAGCGTGAGGGAGCGCACGTGCCGGAGAGGAGGGAGGGGTGTCAGAGCCAAGCCCGTGCCTGTGACGCCACTGACCTCTGAGCCGAGCAGCTTCCCTCAAGGTGCAAATAGGCCCCTCTGGGCTCCAGAGGTGCTCAGTGACGCCTCGCGGTGCCTGCCTGGCGCCCTGGCGGGAGCTGCCTGCTATTCCCGGGAAGGGAACACCTTGCTCTTGCTGTGTGGGGGTGGCCAGAGTCTCCAGCCGCCTTCCGGAGCCTGGGATGTGGGTGCTGTTTACTAATCTGCACAGAGAATCACACAGCCTCCACTGGGTGTGGGCCAGCGCCCCGAGGGTGCGCTTAGTCACACCGATCTTCTGGTGCCTACGGGCGCGACCTCAGCGGGCCTGTGGTGCAGACAACGAGGCCAGCCCGGGCAGCTTTCCATTCTCTCGAGGCTTCAAAACTGTGTGGGCGTGTGCCCCCTTCCACGTGACCAACTCCTGCTCAAGCCTGAGCGCCCAGGGCCAGAGAGAGGGGATTTGGAGAGTCGGATCTTTCAGTCTTCCTTCCTGACAGAAAGTGCAGACGGTGGGCTGTGTGGTTAATTCCATATGTAGACACGGACTCAGAAATAGGCCCATATGCACATATGAACACACAGGCGATGAGAGCGGGCTCCCCTCTCTGCAGCCACACCCCCCTGCCAGGATTGTCCACTGTCTGAGGACCCCCAGGTAAGATTTTGGATAGCCTGTCTTTAGACATAAGTCCCTGTTAAGAAGATGTCTGTGATGGCCGGGGAGGAAGGCTGCGTGGTCATTTGGGGCTCGCAGTGTCCCGCCCCTGCAGGAGGGGTCGGGGGCAGCGGTCGCTGGGCGCACCTGTGGCCACGCTTACAAAGAAATGCACATCTCGCCTCCAGCTCTCACATGCTACAGGGTCCAAAGAGCTAGTCACAGGAAGAAATTTATTTTTCCAAAGTGGACTAAAAGGCAAGAGAAATAGTAACACCAGAACCTAAGAATCTGCTAACACACAAATCAAGGAATCCGGGTGTAGCCTGAGGCTGGGAAGCCATCGGGGGCTGTGTGATGCCGGCCACACCCTTCCTGGTCAGTTATCTGACTTCCTTGGGAGGCAGGAGGCCAGCAGGTGAGCACCTGAGGTTCTGCAAACCTGGGGACTCAGTGACCGATGGTGCTCAGCCTCATCTTCCCTGTCACTGTTCATTTACCACCGTTACAGAGCCAGTGCTCACCTATTCTTGTCATCACATTTGATGCACAAGGAACCTTTGCTTTTTTTTTTTTGCATCGTCAACATCTTCCTGCCGGAGGGATGGAACCTCACATCCCTCCCAGCGTTCAGTTAGTGCACATTCAAGCAAGACAGCCCCCTGGGTGACTAGAGCGTGAACAAAAGCCTGGATGTTTTAAAGCTGTCAGTTTCAAAATTGCACTGAAAACACACAGTCATGTGCCGACGGTACCCCGGCGTCCCGCCAAGGCGTCCCACTTTAGAACCTGGGCCCACGCGTGCTTGTGAGGCTGTCAGACCCAATCAGACAAGTGTCCACACCAACAGGCTGGGCTTATGCCGAGAGCCTGAGGTGGACGCTCCGGGGCCTCCACCGCCTGGAGGAGGCGCATGCGCGCGGCCCGGGAGCAGGGCCGACGAGACCAGTGACTGCGACGGCGGGCACCAGGCACCCGAGGGTCGCTTTGCAAATTATATAACTGTCTAACCACAATGCTGTACCCACGGAACTAACAAAAACAACGCGAATGTCAGCTGTCATTAAGAAACCACCGCCGGCCGGCGTGGCTCAGTGGTTCAGCATCGACCTATGAACCAGGAGGTCACGGTTCCATTCCTGGTCAGGCACGTGCCTGGGTTGTGGGCTCGATCCCCAGCGGGGGGCGTGCAGGAGGCAGCCCATCCATGATTCTCTCTCATCACTGATGTTTCCATCTCTCTCCCTCTCCCTCCCTCTCTGAAATCAATGAAAAGATTAAATAAACAAAATTCTAAAAAAACCCCTAAAAAACAGAAAGACCATTTTTCCTAGAATTCTAAGATACCAAGTCCCCCTCACGATTTCACACCTGAGATAAGAAAGCCTCTTGTAATTAATAGACTCAACATAATCCTTCCTCTGCCGTCTCTCCTACATAAAACGTGCATATCAAATGGAGGGTCCGCCCCACAGCGGCGGCGTGCGGCCCAGGCAGCCTGCCCTCGGCCTCTGGCGCACGCGCTACCCCGCGGGGCCCCGGGCCCTACCTGCGGAAGTCCAGGAGGGACCGCGTGGAGGACGGCACGCCCTGGTCATACCAGCTCAGGAAGTGGAACTGCGTCACCGTGCGTGTCTCGTTGGTCTGCAGGTTCTTCAGGTAGAAGCTCCTCACGAGGAAGTCGTCGCACCAGATGTGCTCAGAGACCAGGTTCACCTGTGGGACAGCGGGGGTGGGCGGGAGGGGAGGCAGGTGTCGGCGACACAGAGATCGCGCGGCCCACAGACCGGGCCCTCTGTCTCAATGTCATCCTGGTTGGTACAAAAAGTAACTGTGGCTTTTGGTTTTTGATGTCATAGAGGGCATAGTGCTCAAACAACTGGAAAAATGTGTTACAATCCACAACCATTCCAGGGGTTGTCTTTTGTATTTCTAAGTCATACAAGCTTCTAGAAAAAATCACCATTTGAACAGAAAGGCCGTGGGTCCACGCGAGCTCGCCCGTGGCAGGTGGCATCCCGGGCCTGAAGGAGCCGAGGCCCCGGCCCTGGGGTCGGCTGGGGCTGATGCCCTCGGTGACCAGGAGCCACGAGGGAGAGCCAGGGTCCATCTCTCTGCTTCCGACGTGGCTCCCCCGGGACCGAGCACTCTGAGTTCAATGCAAGGCAGAGCCAAGGGAGGGCCTGGCTTAGCTGCCAAGTTTACGGCTCTGTCCTGGTCCCGGACGTGGGCTGGAAATCCAGGAAGAGAAGTGCGCTGCCAGCACGTCCCCCTCGAATATAAAGGCCAACAGGGCGGTGGGGACCCTGGTGCGGGGGGTCAGGAAGCAACGAGAGCCATGGCAGGTCTGTCTAGAAGCGGACCCTACAGCCTCGCCCAGCCTGGCTGCGCACAGCACCCGTGAGGCCACTTCCTCGTCCTCGCTGTACATTTTAGAACGTCAACAGTGAGAGCCATGCCATTCACTCCAGGCCCCAGTCCCAGTCCCAGCCCCAGTCCCAGCCCCAGTCCCAGCCTCAGTCCCCAGCCCCAGCCCCAGTTCCCAGCCCCAGCTCCAGCCCCAGCCCCAGTCCCAGCCCTAGTCCAGTCCCAGCCCCAGCCCCAGTCCCAGCCCCAGTCCCAGTCCCAGTCTGAGTCCCAGTCTGAGTCCCAGGGCGCAGCCTGTTGGAGGCCTGAGTGTCACTGACCAAGGGGCCCAGGGGACACCTGGCCCAGGGGCTGGCCCCTGTGGGGACCTGGCTGCAGGTGCGGCTTCAGGGGGATGGTGGCCGGTACCTCGTAGATGTGGTAGAGGTTGGAGCCCTCGTCGGGCCAGTAGTGGTAGCACTGCCGGACGCCGTTCTCCGCCAGCGGGGTCAGCATGACGACGACCACACAGCCGCTCTCCCACACCATCTGCAGAGGGAAGGCCAGGTTACGCGCTCCCAGGACCTGAGCCGTGTCATCGACACATGCTCTGTGCTCGCGGCTCTGAGCCCGCGTTCAGGTTCTGCACGTTCCATGAAGTAGTAAAAGAATCGGCGAATCTGTGCCTGTAAAGCCCCCTCAGTTCTCGGGGGCCCGTGCGATGCCCAGTTTTGCTCTTTGAAGGAAACTTCCCACCAAGAGACACAGACCCCGCCGGGGCCTGGCCCTACTGAGCGGAGGGAACGGCGCGTCCTCCCACGGCAGCTCGGTGGGCGGCACGCCCGTTCTTCAGGGTTGCCCCGATTCCGTGTGACGCGAGAAGCCACGTCTCACCACGGGAAGTCCACACTCTCCCGAGGGCAGCAATGCTGCTGCAATGGAAATGCACTCAAAACGGATTTGATAATTCCTAACGACCGCCTTCAAACAGCCCCGGGACCCAGCAAACACACGAACACACACAGCACACAGCAAAATCGCCAAAGACGCACCCCCCAACCCAATGTCAGGGTGGGGTGGGGAGCAGGCACCGGGCGTGAGCGGAAGCAGACACCCAGCTGCCGGGTCCCCGGCCCCCGGACCGTCTCTGCGTCTGATCCCAGCGAGGCCCCCCAGCCCCATTCCTGCAGCGGCCATGCTCAGCTCGCACACAGGACACAGGCTCAGGCGTAAGCTGAGCAGGAGTGTTGCCTGTTTTAAATACCCCCAAAACTATCCAATTAGGATCTTGTTACTTAAAACATCCACAAATCTCAAATATAAAAGGCTTTCTCTTCATGATATTATTCCCCCCCCCCCCAAACTATAATCTAAAAATCAGGCCAGCTGGCATGGCTCATTGGCTGAGCGTCGAACTAGGAACCAAGAGGTCAGGGTTCGATTCCCGGGCAGGGCACATGCCTGGTTGCCGGCTCGATCCCCAGTGTGGGGCGTGCAGGGGGCAGCCGGTCATTGATTCTCATCATTGATGTCTCTCTCTCTCCCTCTCCCTTCCCCTCTGAAATCAATAAAAATATACTTACAAGAACATAAATAAAAATCAGACACCGCATGATGTTCTCCTCTTTTAATACTGATTTATGTTCCTACGTGGCGGTGATGTCAACACTCGGGGCACTCCGTGTGCCGTTCATGTTGGAGTTTAATGGAACCTGCGGACGTGTGTGCGGAGAAGCCCACCCATATAGGTGAGTCACGCTGTGGCCCACACACAGCCTCGTGCACGTGTGGCCACGCGGTGGGGCCCGCGACACACCCGGCGACGGGCCTTGGCGAGGCGGAGGTCCCTGAAGCCATTACGGAAACGAGGAGAAACGCAAGGTTATGAGTGTAATCAACACGCAACGATCAAGGCGTAGCTGATCGCCCAGCGCTCGGCCGCCCCCGAGTGGCCCTGGGGAGCCCTCCCCTTGCTCAGGGACGCCGCGGGCGGGCGCGCCCACTCAGGCCCGGCTCCCCGAAGGCAGCATAAGATGAAACCCAAGTGAAACGAACGGGAGCAGTGACCCACGGCACCGCGGGGCATGTTTTTTCTCGGGCCACTGTGTGTGCAGAGGGCAGCCACAGACGGACAGACGGCAGCCGCGGTGCCCTCGGCCAGCACTGCGGGGTAGGGTGCCCCCTTCAGCAGACACGGCGGCGTGGGTGCGGTGGGGGCACAGGTCCTGTGAGAGTGTCCGCACAGGTTCTCAGCTGCTGGAACACTATGGCCACAGCCTGTGCCCACGCCCCCCACCTACCCCCCCGCCCCGTCACTCATGGTGACAGGCAGAGAGAGGGAGCTCGTAGCAACACCGGCTCGGCAGAGGGGCACCTGCTCGAGGCCCAGCAGCCAGTGGAGGGGCAAACCGGCAGTGACTGGCACCCGCCTCCCCCTGTGGGAAAAGGCTCACGGCTCCTGGTGCTCTGAGGGACGCAGACCCTCCCGCCCGTGCTGTCCCGGCACCTGGCACGGAACAGGGTCCTGCTCCTGTGGGCCTGCGTCTGCAGCGGAGCAGGGATGTCCCAGAGGGGGACCAGGGAGACAGGGGGCACCTGCTGCTGAGACAGGGGAGGCCCGAGACACCACACCCTGCTCCCCGCTTCCCCCCCTGCTCCCTAATTCCCCACCCACACCCTGCTCTGGGCTCCCCCCCTGCTCCCTGCTCCCCACCCTGCTCTGGGGTCCCCCTCTGCCCCCTGCTCCCCCACCCACACCCTGCTCCCAGCTTCCCCCCCTGCTCCCTGCTCCCTGCTCCAGGCTCCCCCCTGCTCCCTGCTCCCCCACACACATCCTGCTCAGGGCTCCCCGCTGCTCCCTGCTCCCCCACCCACACCCTGTTCGGGGCTCCCCCCCCCTGCTCTGGGCTCCCCCCCTGCTCCGGGCTCCCCCCTCACTGCACCAGAGACCCCATCACTGTGCCAGGGACCCCTCACTGCACCAGGGGACCTGCTCACTGTGCCAGGGACCCCCTCACTGCACCAGGGACCCCTCACTGTGCCAGGGACCCCTCACTGCACCAGGGGACCCCCTCACTGCACCAGGGACCCCTCACTGCACCAGGGACCCCTCACTGCACCAGGGACCCCCTCACTGCACCAGGGACCCCCTCACTGCACCAGGGACCCCTCACTGCACCAGGGACCCTCCACACTGTGCCAGGGACCCCTCACTGTGCCAGGGGCCCCTCACTGCACCAGGGGACCCCCTCACTGTGCCAGGGACCCCTCACTGCGCCATGGGACCCCTCACTGCACCAGGGGACCCCCTCACTGCACCAGGGGACCCCCTCACTGTGCCAGGGACCCCTCACTACACCATGGGACCTCTCACTGCACCAGGGGACCCCCTCACTGCACCAGGGACCCCCTCACTGCACCAGGAACCCCATACGGTGCCAAGGGGCCCCATCACTGCACCAGGGGACCCTTCACTGCGACAGGGGGCCCCGTCACTGTACCAGGGACCCCTCACTGTACAAGGGACTCCCTCACTGCACCAGGGACCCCTCACTGCGCCAGAGACTCTCTCACTGCACCAGGGACCCCTCACTGCACCAGGGGCCCCCCTCACTGCACAAGGGAACCCCCTCATTGCACCAGCGCACCCCCCTCATTGCACCAGGGACCCCCTCACTGCGCCAGGGACCCCTCACTGCACCAGGGGCCCCCCTCACTGCACAAGGGAACCCCCTCATTGCACCAGCGCACCCCCCTCATTGCACCAGGGCCCCCCTCACTGCGCCAGAGACCCCCTCACTGTGCCAGGGACCCCTCACTGCACCAGGGATCCCCTCACTGCACCAGGTACCCTCCACACCTTACCAGGGACCCCCCTCACTGCACCATGGACCCCTCACTGCACCAGGGGACCCCTCACTGCACCAGGGGACCCCTCACTGCACCAGGGACCCTCCTCACTGCACCAGGGACCCCTCACTGCACCAGGGGACCCCTCACTGCTCCAGGGACCCCCTCACTGCACCAGGGGACCCCTCACTGCGCCAGGGGAGGCTCTGATGCAGCTGCTGGTCCAGGGGGCAAGGCTAGAAGGGAAACTCCCTCCCAGGAGCGGCTCCGCACGTGGTGGGCCTTCCTCCGTGAGCGGCTGTCCCAGGGCCGTGGGCGCCTTGGGCAGGTGCGAGCGGAGGAAGCTCAGTGTCCGCCCGGGGCAGCGTGTCTTAGCGCCAAAGCTCGGGGTCCTGCGCCATGGCGTCGCGCTTGATCCAGGGAACACGGGGTGCAGGGCCTTCCCTTTTTGCAGGATTTGCTCGCACAGTCGCTCACCTTGCTCACAAAGTAGGGACAGGTGCCTGCATGTGCAGACACTGACAAGGCAGGGGCTGGCGGCCACCCCGGGCCTCTTCCCAGGACCCCCTGTGAGGCCGGAGCACCCCCTCCTTCAGGCGGAGAGTCGGGGGGCTGACGGGCGGCGGGAAAGCATGCAGGCCATGGGGCGAGTGAGGGCTGATGGTTAGCCGATTCGCCTCTTACTTACAGGCCCAAGGTAGAGAGGGTCGGAGACAGTGAGGGAAACGGAGGCGGGGACCCTGGCCCCCGACTTTGCTCTGGGTGGCTGATGTCAACATTCATTCTCAACGTCCGAGCCCCGCTCAGTGCTCAGGATCATAAGATTAAACAATAGATAAGAGACATTTTGATAAAATAAAACACTGATTAATTTTCTTTGTATTTCAAAAAATGAAATTGTAAAGTGGCTTTAAAAAGTGTCTTTAAAACATTAAATCTCTTGAAGGGATTTTTTTTCAGACTCAGTTTTGAAAACCTAATTGATCATAAACACATTAAAGGCACCTGGCTGGCTGTTCAGTGGTTAGAGCACCGGCCGTAGCCTGGAGGGCTGTAGGTTCAATCCCGGCCCTGGTCTGGCGCGTGCGGGAGGCAACCAGCCACGTTGTCATTCTCACATGGATGCTTCCTCTCTCTCTCTCTCCCTCCCTCCCTCCCTCCCTCCCTTCCACTTTTGTCGAAAAAAAAAAAAAATGGAAAAAATATCCTTGGTGAGGATTACAAAAAATATATATCTTAAAGGCCCCCAATAAATTCTGAAATCATGAAACTTTTGACAAACCCTATAAATAAGTTTGAATTGGCTTAATTGCACCCAAGGTGTTATCACAATCAAAGTAAGAACTCACTTTCAGAAAAATAACTGATTAAAAATGAGTCACCTCGTTGAAAAAAGAGATAGAGGAAGACATAAACAGATGGAAGAACATACCATGTTCTTGGATTGGTAGAATCAACATCATTAAAATGTCCATACTACCCAAAGCAATCTATAAATTCAACACACTTCCCATTAAAATACCAATGGCATATTTCATAGACCTAGAACAAACTCTGCGGCAATCCTGAGAAAGAACAAAGTAGGTGGGATCTCAATACCAGATATCAAGCTGTATTACAAAGCCACTGTTCTCAAAACTGCCTGGTACTGGCACAAGAACAGACATATAGATCAATGGAATAGAATAGAGAACCCAGAAGTCAACACAAACCAATATGCGCAATTAACATTTGACAAAGGAGGCAAGAACATACAATGGAGTCAAGACAGTCTCTTCCATAAATGGTGTTGGGAAGATTGGACAGATATATGCAAGAAAATGAAACTAGACCACCACCTTACACCATACACAAAAATAAACTCAAAATGGATAAAGAGCTTAAATGTACGACGGGAAACCATAAAAATACTAGAAGAATCAAAAGGCAACAAAATCTCAGACTTATGCCAAAGCAATTTCTTTACCGATACAGCTCCTAGGGCATTGGAAACTAAAGAGAAAATGAACAAATGGGACTACATTAAAATAAAAAGCTTCTGCACAGCAAAAGAAACCATCAACAAAACAACAAGAAAGCCCACCGCATGGGAGAACATATTTGCCAATGTTATCACCGATAAGGGCTTAATCTCCAACATTTATAGGGAACTCATACAACTTAACAAAAGGAAGATAAACAATCCAATCAAAAAATGGGCAAAGGACCTAAATAGACACCTTTCAAAAGAGGACATTCAGAAAGCCAAGAGACATATGAAAACATGCTCAAAGTCACTAATCATCTGAGAGATGCAAATCAAAACAACAATGAGGTACCATCTCGCACCTGTCAGACTGGCTATCATCAACAAATCAACAAACGACAAGTGCCGGAGAAGATGTGGAGAAAAAGGAACCCTCGTGCACTGCTGGTGGGAATCCAGACTAGTGCAGTCACTGTGGAGAACAGTATGGTGTTTCCTCAAAAAACTAAAAATGAAACTCCCATTTGACCCCGTGATCCCAATTCTAGGAATATATCCCAAGAAACCAGAAACACCAATCAGAAAGGACATATGCACCTCTATGTTCATAGCAGCACAGTTCACCATAGCTAAGATCTGGAAACAGCCTAAGTGCCCGTCAGTAGATGAATGGATTAGAAAACTGTGGTACATCTACACGATGGAATACTATGCTGCTGTAAAAAAGAAGGAACTCTTACCATTTGCAACGGCATGGATGGAACTGGAGAGCATTATGCTAAGTGAAATAAGCCAGTCAATGAAGGAAAAATACCACAAAATCTCACTCATTCATGAATAATAGAGACCATTATAAACTTATGAACAAAAATAGATACAGAGGCAGAGCAGCCTCGAACAGACTGTCAAACTACAGCGGGAAGGCCGGGGAGGGTTGGAGGGCAGGAAGGGGGGAAGGGAGGTAAGAGAGCAACCTAAGGACTTGTGTGCATGCATATAAGCATAACCAATGGACATAAGACACTGGGGGGTGGGGAGGCCAGGGGATTGTCAAGGGTGGGAAAAAAAAGGGGACATATGTAATACTCTCTGTAACACTTTAAGCAATAAAACAATAATAATAAAAAAAGAGTCACCTGCCAGAAGTCAGCCACAGTGGCGGGCAGTGGTCCCTGGGCGGCAATGTAAGCTGGACTCCGGGGGTCGTGGTCCATCTGCAAGACAGGTTCACAGTGATGAGCTCGGAAATGGTCACGAACGAGGAAGTCACACATCAGCCACAGGGAGTGCTGGTCGCACGCACCCTGTACCGACTGCCACCAGGACACGCCCCGTGCCGGCCGCTCCTGACTGCTGTGCAGGGGACAGGAGCAGCATCATCAGTGAGGATCAGCCCTTGCTGGTGTTGCTCAGTGGATAGAGCATTGACCTGCAAACTGAAGGGTCCGGGTTCGATTCCGGTCAAGGGCACATACCTGGGTTGCAGGCTTGATCCCTGGCCCTGATCAGGGAGTGAATGTGGAGGCAATCAATTGATGTGTCTCTCTCACATCGATGCTTCTCTCTCTCTGTCTCTCCCCTCCCTTCCACACTCTCTAAAGATCAATGGAAAGATATCCTCAGGTGAGAATTAAAAAGAAAAAAGAAGTGAGGTTCAGACGCCAATCAATGAACCTGCTACACAGGCTGGGCTGCAGGGTGAGGCTGCCAGCAGGGTGGCCTTTCCCCGGATCCCAGAGCCGGTTGGCGTGAGCAGGGTGCGTGCAGAGTCAGGGTCGGGCCACGAGCCGGTGTCAGCCCTGTGGGCCCAGGCTGGTGCGAGGTGAGCCCTGCTCCCGGTTGAGTGAGGGCCCCGCTCCTGGCGAAGCACCTCCCGCCCGGAAGCATTCATGAACGCAGTGCATATGCCTCCGGAAAGAGCCACCGCCCACAGGGGCGCTTGTTTTGTTACCACGAAGGCTCAGGCACGGCTGAGTCACGCACGGTCGGCGTCCTGGGGAGGAGGCGGCCCCAGCAGCTGCCCCCACCAGACGGAACAGGAGTTTTCGATGCGCAGTGCTGGGGTGACATAGCCCACCTCCTGCCCAACGTGCTTTTTTGCCCAAAACAATTTAGAGAGCAGCCCGGTTTTGAATTGTTACTATGTTCAAATGAGCATTTAGTTGCTTTCAAAATGAGAAATGTGAAAATCTGAACTGGTTTCAGGAGAGTAAATAAGGCCACCTTTTGTCACAGGTCTCAATTGTTGTGGTGTTTCACTTACTGTCCCCAAGACCATAGAGGATGGGACACTCGCCATCCCCCTCGCTATCGCGTGGTTGCCACGCAGAAGGCCGTGAACACCTAGAGGGCTCAGTGGGGAAATGAGTCCTCCGTTGAGCAAAAGACAGCCCTGACGGCGGTGCCACGCACCCTCTGTGGGACAGACGACATCCTGGGCAAGGGCACTCGATGTGAGCAGCCAACGCCGCGCCTCAGAGCCGGGCGGGAGGAGGGGGGCGCGGTGTCCTCAGTGAATGAAAGTACAGCAGACAACGATGTGGACAGAAGCCTCATTCCACTTGATCTCCAGGGCGGGACAAGTGCGATGAGAGGAGGCAGGCACGCCCCTTCCCTTCTCCGGGAAGCACTCCAGGCGGCCGACGAGCTCAGCGTGGTGGACGTGTGTCCCGCCTCCGGTTCCTGGTGGGAGAACAGCATCTTCTCCGTTCTCGCTCACCTTCCCACATCTTGTGGGAAACTTTTTATTTGTACAAATGCCAAATTCACAACCAGAAGCTCTGTGACCGCGGAAGAAGGGAGAGTCTGCTTGGACCCCGGCCCTGTGTCTGTGAGACCTGAGAGGGGAGGGATGTGGGCAGCACGAGGTCTGATGCCCTTCAACCCCTGGATCCCCGGGAGTTTTCAGAAAAGGTGAAGCAGAACCCACTGTCCACAGGGTGACGAGTCTGTGAAGACGCCGGGTGAACCTAGGCACCAGCATGGAGCGTTCCTATGAACCTTCAGTGCACAGGTGAACAGCCTGTGATCTGCCTTCAGCTGTACAAGGGCAATCTATATATAGGAAGGCCTAAGCGACTATTGGGCCAGTGGACCTTTCGACTGGAAGCTATGACATGCACTGACCACCAGGGGGCAGATGCTCAACACACAGGCATGGAAACATGGAACAGACTGATGAATCAGAGGGAAGGGGGAGGGGAGAGGGTAGGAAGAGATTAACCAAAGATCTTACATGCATACTAGAGGCCTGGTGCACGAAATTCATGGGCAGGTACCGTCCCTAGGCCTGGCCTGTGATCAGGGCCATCTTCCCCAGCTGCCCACAGCTGGCCCCGTCCCCCGCCCCAGTTCCCTGTTCCCCATCTGGTGATCGGTGCCTGATGGCCAGGGGAAGGGACCAAGAGGTCAGCTGTTCCCACCTGCTCGCCGGCCCCGCCCCCGCCGTGGGTGGCCATTGGGCGGTCAGAGCCTGCCAGCTGGGGAAAGGGACCAAGAGGAGGTCAGTGCGCCTCATAGTGACTGGTCCAGCAGTTGTTCTGGTCATTCTGCTGTTAGGGTCAATTTGCATATTACCCTTTCATTATATAGGATAGAGGCCTGGTGCATGGCTGGCCTGCCCTGAAGGGGACCCTGAGTCAGGGTGGAGGGTCCCCGCTGGGGGGTGGGGCCGGCCTGGGCGAGGGGTTGCGGGTGGTTTGCAGGCCACCCATGCCCCCGGCTTTGTCAGGAAGGACGTCTGGTCTATCTGGTCTAATTAGCATATAACCCCTTTATTAGTATAGATTATTAGTATAGACTAGAGGCCTGGTGCACAGATTCATGCACTGGTGGGGTCCCTCAGCCTGGCCTGCAGGGATTGGGCCGAGTCCGTGCACTGGGCCTCTGACATCCCCCGAGGGTCCTAGATTGTGAGAGGGCACAGGCCAGGCTGAGGGACCCCACTGGTGCATGAATCCATGCACAGGGCCTCTAGTTATTAAATAAGCGTGACTGCCTGGTTTTCTCCCTAGAAACCCTAATGTGCATGAAAAACTTCGCAATAATTTCCCCAGTGTCCTCTCAGAAGTGATCTTAAGGAGGAAGTGTTCAGCGTGTCCTGAAGCCTGGCTCTCTTATTTGGCCAATTTCTTATGCTATTCAGGGCATCATCTTCTAAGGAATCAATTTGTACTAGTTAATTAGACAAATACATTCTGATACTAAATAAATCAGTTAAACACATTCTGATACCAGTTAAATCAGTTAAACACATTCTGAATTAAAACTTTATTTATTTTAATAATTCTTTATTGTTGAAAGTATTACATATGTCCCCTTCCCCGCCATTGAACCCCTCCGGCCCACCCCCACCCCCACCCCAGGCCCTTATCGCCCTACTGTCTGTGTCCAAGGGCCATGCATATAAGCATACAAGGTCTTTGGTTGATTACCTCCCACTCACCCATCCTCCCCATCTTCCCTCTGGGATTCCACACTCTGTTCCATGTTTCCATGCCTCTGGATCCACTTTGTTCATCAGTTTATTTTGTTACTTAGATTCCAGATATAAGTGTGATCATGTGACTCTTGTCTTTCTCTCACTGGCTTATTTCACTTAGCATGATGCTCTCCAGGTCCCTCCATGCTGTCTCAAAAGGTAAGAGATTCTTCTTTTTTAACTGCTGCATAGTATTCCATGGTGTAAATGTACCACAGCCTTTTTATCCACTCGCCTACTGATGGGCACTGGGGCTGTTTCCAGATCTTAGCTATTGTAAATTGTGCTGCTATGAACATAGGGATCATACATTCTTTCTGATTAGTGCTTCGGGTTTCTTAGGATATATTCCTAGTAGTGAGATCATTGGGTCAAATGGGAGTTCCATATTTAATTTTTTGAGGTAACTCCATACTATTTTCCATAATGGCTGCACCAGTCTGCATTGTCACCAGCAGTGCACGAGGGTTCCCTTTTCTCCACATCCTCACCAGCACTTGTTGTTTGTTGATTTGTTGATTGTAGCCACTCTGACAGGTGTGAGGCGACACCTCATTGTGGTTTTAATTTGCATCTCTTGGATGATCAGTGACTTTGAGCATTTTGTCATGTCTCTTGGACATTGTATGTCCTCTTTGGAGAAGTGTCTATTTAGGTCCTCTGCCCATTTTTTCATTGGGTTGTTTGTCTTCCTTTTGTTAAGGTGTATGAGTTCCTTATATATTTTTGATATTAACCCTTTATCAGATGTATCATTACCAAATATGTTCTCCCATACAGTGGGCTCCATTTTCATTTTGTTGATGGTTTCTTTTGCTGTGCAGAAGCTTCCTTTTTTTTAAAAAAATATATTTTATTGATTTTTTACAGAGAGGAAGGGAAAGGGATAGAGAGTTTGAAACATCGATGAGAGAGAAACATCGATCAGCTGCCTCCTGCACACCCCCTACTGGGGATGTGCCCACAACCAAGGTACATGCCCTTGACCGGAATCGAACCCGGGATGCTTCAGTCCGCAGTCCGATGCTCTATCCACGGAGCCAAACTGGTTAGGGCGAAGCTTCCTTTTTTGATGTCGTCCCATTTGTTTATTTTCTCCTTAGTTTCCTTTGTCCTAGGAGATGTATCTGTAAACATACTGCTATGAGAGCTGTGTGAGATTATTCTGCCTATGGTTTCTTCTAGGATTTTCATGGTTTCACTTAAGGGACATTTAAGTCCCTTATCCATTTTGAGTTGTTCTTGTGTATGGTATAAGTTGGTGGCTTGGTTTCATTTTTCCTGTATCTGTCCAATTTCCCCAGCACCATTTATTGAAGAGACTGTCTTGACTCCATTATATGCTCTTGCCTCCTTTGTCAAATATTAATTGAGCATGATGGCTTGGGTCGATTTCTGGGGTCTCTGTTCTGCTCCACTGCTCTATATGCCTGTTCTTGTGCCAGTACCAGGCTGTTTTGATTACAGTGGCTTTGTAGTATAACTTCAGATCTGGTATTGTGATCCTTCCAACTTTGTTCCTCTTTCTCAAGATTGCTGCAGCTATTCAGGGTCTTTTTTGGTCCATATAAATTTTTGGAGTATTTGTTCTAGATCTGTGAAATATGCCATTGGTATTTTAATAGGGATTGCATTGAATCTGTAGAGGGCCTTGGGTATGGACATTTTAATGATGTTGATTCTACCAATCCAGGAACACTGGATTAAAACTTTAAACATTTTTCCTCCCTTAATATACTACAGAATAAAGAGGGAGGTGATCCTCACCTGCTGACGGAGACTTCAGCCTGTCCCTGTTGTGAAATGTGCAGTTTTGACAAAACTGCCACGTGACTGACGGGCTCAGCCTCCGCTCCAGTGCCCGCCGCCCGAGGGGCCTCTCCCGGACACTGTGCGGGAGAGCAGGGCCTTGGTTTACGTTCACGACCTCCAATGAAAAGCAAAGATTGCCCACTGTCGCCCATGGCTGGTGGCGGAGTTTAATGCGGGCTGAGCACAACCGCGGTGACGGATGGCCAGGCTCCCAGCCCTGACGGCGCTTCTTACTCAGCTGCCGGCTGCAGCTGCCTGGCCTCCGCTATCTCAGAGGAAGACGCCCCACGGGCTTCCCGTCACCGTTCCGACTCAAGTGAAAGGAAGAACTGTGGTGTTGAATAAAGGAGGGAGCACAACAAAAGCACTTATTTCCCTCCGTGTTGCCTTCAGACCCAAGTCCCTGCGGGAGCTGCTCCCGGATGATGCTGTTTCTACACCAGCAGCTGTGCCCACCCTGACGCTGGGCTTCCGCAGGCGCTGGAACTCGGGGCCCACACAGGGGACGCGGGGGCTTGCACACACGCCCTCATGGCTTTCGGACCTGGAACGACTCCTTTAGTTCTCTCGTGGGTCCTCCCAGGGACCAGGAGTCATAGAACGATGTGACTCTCCTTGTTCCAAGGGTCTGGGGTCAGCGCCATGGTCCGTTGTGCAGGCCGGGGCCAGGCAACTACAGGCCCGCCTCCCGGACACAGGCCGCTCACAGCGGGGACGGGTGGCCACCAGTGCGGCTTTGCCTTGATTGTTTGAATCAGAACCAACAAGAAAATCCAAGCACATTACAATGTGCTGGAGAGGGACTGAGTGGCCACAGGAGAACCTGGGAGCCAGGGGCCGAGGTCCGGAGGCACCTGCAGGAGGACCAGGTATGGACAACCTTCTTCCACGAGGCCACAGGCCAGGGCGGGCTCGGTCGGGCAGGCAGGCACGCCGGCCGGTCTTCCCTGCGCTGTGCTGGGCTGGCAGTGAGAAGTGTCGGGAGGCGCGAGGTGGTCCAGGCACGTGGAGCCTCAACAAGAGGCGTTTATACAACAGGCGCTTTGGAATGAGTGGAACCAGCCACTGTGGCCCCCGTGGCCCACCGCCAGCAGCTGCTGCTTGGAGTCACATGGCGATGCTCTCCTGGACAGCTCACCACTGGGGAGCCAGGGGCTGCTAGCACATGGGGTGCCTTTCATGAGTCCAGAGACCCCTGTCCCACCCAAACCTCTGTCACCTGTAAAGTGATTGCCTTGGAATAGCAGCCGGTGCAGCACCCCCACACACAGTCCTTGACTGGATGCAAGTCATGATTTCGGGGAGACGTCTGGACACCTCCCCTAAGACAACGTGGAGAAACATGTCTACATCGAGGCCACCTCAGCCCCTCGCCCTCATAAACCCACACCAAGCCCTTCTCTGCTGCCGGCTTAAATGCCCTCGACCGCACTCCTGTGGCCTCTGCTTGCAGGCACACAGCCCTCCCCCTGTGGCTGCAGACCCCCAGCCGCTGCCCCCCTGCCCAGGGCAAGAGGACCGCAGGGGCCGCACGCAGTGAGACAGGAGGCAGGAGGAGCCCAGGCAGCTGTGGGCGGGAGGACTTCCCCAGAAGCTGAGAGGGTGGGCTGGCCTCAGGGACCTGACAGTGAGGGGTCAGGGGGTGACAGAGACCCCTTTCCCTCGTCTGGTCCTCAGCTCCACCTCCCAGAGGGCACAGCACCCTGCACCCCTCCAGACAGCCAAGTGCCAGGGATCACTTTCACAAGTGCCAGGCATGGCTCTAATTCTCCCATTTCCCCGGAATGAATCGGGCACAAGTGGGCCTAGGAAAGGGTAAACCTTCAGGCCACTGGTGCTGGCCCTCCCGGTCACTGCTCCCTGCCCAGGACACAGTCACCTGGCTCAATGGGTAAGGCTGGTTGCTGAATGAGACTAGTTACTTCATTGAGACTAGTAACCTGGCTGAGACTAGTTACCTGGTTAGGACTAATTACTGGTTGAGACTAAGAACCCAGTTGAGACTAGTTAACTGGTTAAGGCTGGTTCCTGGTTGAGGCTAGTTACCTGGTGGAGACTAGTAACCTAGTAGAGGCTAGTTATCTGGTTAAAGCTGGTTCCTGGTGGAGACTAGTTACCTGGTAGAGACTACTTATTTGGTTATTGGTTGAAACGAATTACCTGGCTAAGACTGGTTACCTGGTAGAGACCAGTTACCTGATTAAGGCTGGTTACTGGTTGAGGCTAGTTACCCAGTTGAGGCTAATTATCAGCTCTCTACTGGGAGCAGGGCAGGGCATGTTTTCCATGCCAACCTCACGTGGCTTGCCCACGTGGTGCCCTGGGAAAGGCTGGCGCCCTCCGTGGGGACAGTACTTACAATGGGGCTGGCGTTGATGTAGTCCGAGTTGCTGTGGCTGTTTTCCGGCTTCAGCAGGATCCGGGAGTGGTCATCTGCAAAGGTCCAGAGCAGAGAGTCAGGTTTGTGCCAGCCCGCGCCGCCCAGGAGTGCGCATGCAGCGATGCTGCGAGGGCCCTGTGGCTGTCCTCTGCAGGCGGCGTCCCCTCCGAGTGCTCAGCCCTTCCCACAGAGCTCAGGGCGCTCTGCCCCTTCTCCCCATTTACTCCCGTCACCGTCTGTAGAGGAGAATCAGGCTGTGCGAGGACCTGACTCTGTCCCACCTGGTGCAACCTGGAGACACCAAGGTTATTTGCGACATTTATAGAGTTGACCTTTACACATGCTCAGCAACATAGTAAATAAATGTCGACATGCAGAGGAGGCTGTCAGGCACCACTCAATACCTCAGGCTTTGCCATCTACAAACAGCTAAGTCCTCGAGGTGACAGAATTTTGTCTTATTTATTTATTTATTTTTAAAAATAAATCTTTATTGTTCAGATTATTACAGATGTTCCTCTCCCCCCTGCCTCATAGCTCCCCTCCACCCGGTTCCCACCCCACCCCATGCCTTTACCCCGCCCCCCAACATCCTCGTCCATAGGTGTAAGATTTTTGTCCAGTCTCTTCCCGCACCCCACACCCCCTTTCCCCTGAGAATTGTCAGTCTACTCCCTTTCTATGTCTCTGATTCTATTATATTCACCAGTTTATTATGTTCATCAGATTTTTTATTCACTTGATTTTTAGATTCACTTGTTGATAGATATGTATTCATTGTCATTTTGCTGTTCATAATTTGTATCTTTACCGTTTTCTTCCTCTTCCTCTTCTTAAAGGATACCCTTCAGCATTTCATATAATACTGGTTTGGTGGTGATGGACTCCTTTAGCTTTTTCTTGTCTGTGAAGCTCTTTATCTGACCTTCAATTCTACATGATAGCTTTGCTGGGTAGAGTAATCTTGGTTGTAGGTTCTTGGTATTCATCACTTTGAATATTTCTTGCCACGCCCTTCTGGCCTGCATAGTTTCTGTTGAGAAATCAGCTGACAGTCGTATGGGTACTCCCTTGTAGGTAACTAACTGTTTTTCTCTTGCTGCTTTTAAGATTCTCTCTTTGTCTTTGCTCTTGGCATTTTAATTATGATGTGTCTTGGTGTGGTCCTCTTTGGATTCCTCTTGTTTGGGGTTCTCTCCACTTCCTGGACTTGTAAGTCTATTTCTTTCACCAGGTAGGGGAAATTTTCTGTCATTATTTCTTCAAATAGGTTTTCAATATTTTGCTCTCTCTCTTCTGGCACCCCCATAATTCGGATGTTGGTATGCTTGAAGTTGCCCCAGAGGATCCTTACACTATCTTCATGTTTTTGGACTCTTTTTTCTTTTTGCTTTTCCAGTTGGGTGTTTTTTGCTTCTTCATATTTCAAATTTTTGCCTTGATTCTTGCGATTCTCTAGTCTGCTGTTGGATCTCTGTATATTATTCTTTATTTCAGTCAGTGTATGCTTAATTTCTGATTGGTCCTTTTTCATATCCTTGAGGGTCTCACTAAATTTCTTGGAGGTTTCCAGAAGATTCTTGAGTAACCTTATAACCATGGTTTTGAACTCTATATCCAGTAGTTTGCTTTCCTCCATTTCTTTCATTCATGACATATTTCTTTGTCTCCACATTTTGGCTACTTCCCTGTGTTGATAGAGTGGCCTTGTGTGGTAGGTGTCCTATAGGGCCCAGTGTCTCCGCCTCCCCAGTCACCTGAGGTGGACACTCTAGTTACACCCCTTGTGGGCTGGGTACACATTCCTGTTGTAGTTAAGCCTTGATTGCTGTTGGTGTCACTGGGAGGAATTGACCTCCAGGCCAATTGGCTGTGAGGACCAGTTGTGTCTACAATGGAAGAACTGCTGTGCTGGAGACACCCTTATGGGGCAGGACTTGCTTCAGTGGGGCTTTGGTCCTCACTGAGTCTTCCCCTTGAGTGTGTCGCTTATGGATGTGAAGAGTTGTAATCTGGTATGGTCTCACAGTGACCACTGGGTACACTGGCTCTTGGATCTCTAAGGAGGTGCAAAGTCAGCCACTGCCTGAGGCCACCCAGCAGGAGCTACAGAGAGATCTGCAGATTCTTCCTCTTTGTTTGGGGTTTGGAGGTGCCCAGGTGAGGCCCAGCTGCGAAGCAAGGCCGGCTGCTGCTGCTGAGCCTTGGACCTTCTTTTGGAAGCTTTGGAGCTCTCTGACCCAGCTGCAGTTTGTTAGGTTTTATGCCGAGAAAGGACTGGCCATTCATATGCAAAAGCCGCTGTGCACAGCTTGGGTGAGGTTGTAAATTGGGTGGGGCGGGGTCTTGGGGAATCACCAGGGCAGAGCAAACAGTAATGGCTGCCAGTCAGCCCTGCATCAGAGAGGTCCCCGTGTCTCCGTGTTCCACGCCTCTGCGCAGGAACAATGATTGCTGTGAGTACCTCTGAGAGAAAGCCACCCTCATGTTCCGGCCTGATGCCAGACAGTCCAGTTTCTCCCCGTATGAGTCTGGGTCCCCAGAGTCTCGCCCGGAACTGGAGTTCAGAGCAATCAGAAGCTTGTATTTCCCTCCTGATTGAAATAAAACAATAGTGCACCCAGTTGCCAGCCCGTTTCGTGAGCATCTCCACACCTCCACACCTCTTACCAGCCTCAATGCACTTTTTTCTTTCCTTCTAGTTGTAGAACTTCCACTCAGCCAGCTTTCCCTTGGTTTTGGATGATTGATGTTTTGTCTTTTAGTTGTAGTTTTGATGTGGTTGTGAGAGGCAGCAAGTGCAGGTGTTTACCTATGCCGCCAACTTGGTTCTTCTTCCAGGGGAGGGCAGTTGGGGGTGATCAGGTTGGCAGGCAGAAGCAGTTAGGGGCAATCAGGCAGGCAGGCAGGTGAGCGGTTAGGGGCCAGTGGTCCCAGATTGTGAGAGGGATGTCCACAGGTATCGGGCCTAAACCAGCAGTCAGACATCCCCCCGAGGGGTCCCAGATTGTAGAGGGTGCAGGCCAGATTGAGGGACACTTCTCCCCCCATGTACTATTTTGTGTACGAAGCCTCTAGTATCTCAATAAAAACATATTCTTAAAAAAAAGACGCTCGAATGAACTCCTGAGCATTGACCCCACACCAATGCCTGCTGCAAGAACAAGATTTCTAATTTCTCCTGCATTCTGTCTGTTCTAAACAGAACTCACATATATCACCTGCCTGCTTCCCACTGCACCATGCCATTGACAGAACGGGAACTATTCTCCCATTTTAAGCTGAAAAATGAAGGCCCAGAAACACCCAGTGAATGACTTGATAGACGCCACATGGCCAACAGCGAGGAGCCCAGGTTTGAGGTCAAATCCTGCACCTGGCAGCCAGGGGATGTCTGGGTCAATTATTCAATATTTTAAAGTGTCGGATTTGTCATCCAAAGTGTGGGATACTGATGTTGAACTCACAGGCATGTTGTGGCAAATGGTGTGTATAAAGCAGGCACTGTAATCATGTAGCTTACGGACAAAGTCAAGATTATAGGTGCACACACCTCACCTGTGAAAAGCCCACAGAACTGACACACGTATCTAGGACGGTGGACGCATGGCGTTGCCACGAAGTAGAAGATGGTTTTCATAAATGCCAACAGGAGATACTGTGTGCGATGAGGGCACAGAACCCTGCAGGTAGACAAGCGAGGGTCCTGTGGGGGTCGCTGCAGCTCGGTCAGCGGACCCGCACCGGCACGGCCTGTCCCATGCGCCACACGAGCCGCCGTTGCCCACCTGCGGACAGGGTGCCAGGCCTCTGTGGCCGCAGATACCAAGGATCTCTACAGACGGTTCTCCACAGCCGGTGAGTGACTCACTGACCAGTGTGTGATGGGGTGGGTCCTTCACTAGAAGGTGCAGACCTTGGTGTGCTGAGGGGTTGGGAGTCCGCGGGATGATGGCTGTCCAGTGGTCAGCCAGGACTCACACCGTCGCAATGTTCCTTTGTGATTTAGATGAAACCATCACGCTGGCCGGACGCCGCTGGCCGTGCTTTGCAGCTGTGGCCGTGGAGGTGTGGTATGTATCAGGGGATGGGCCGGGGCGTGTCTGGAGGGTCAGTTCCGAGTCGCTCATGTAGACCGAGCCCTGGGATAAGCCCACGGCATTGGGACCACAGTTCCTGCGTGGGAGCCGCAGGCCCATGGGCGGCTTCTGCTCTGCAAGCCCATAGCCGAGGCTCTCCCACACCATCGGCTCCGCGGTGAGGCCAGACGGTGGCCTAAGGGTTCCGCCAACACACACAGAAATGCCTTTACTGATTGGGACTTGTAGTTGATGCAAAGCAATGAATTTAAAAACATGTTTTTTAATTGATTTTAGAGAGGAAGGGAGAGGGAGAGAGAAACATTGAGGTGAGAAACATCTGGTTGCCTCCCGCAGGTACTCCGGCTGGGGACCCCACCCGAAAGCTGGGCATGTGCCCTGGCAGGGAATCCAGCCAGTGACCATTTAGTGCCCCGGACAACACGCAACCCGCCGAGCCGCCCAGCCAGGGCGAAGCGATACATTTTTATATTATGTTTGTTTCTGGACTCTGAGAAGCTAAAGAGATGTTTTCATTGCAGACGGTTTCCCGTCACTGTGGCAGAGACGATGGTGTGTGACAGATCCTGGGGGCACGTGTGACTGGCCAGCTCACACTGACCAGTGCGTCCTCGGCCTCGGGGTGTGCGGGTTCTGTGGCTGCTGGAGGGAGCGTCCACACACCCAGCGGCGTAGACACCACTGTTTATAGTGGGCAGTGCTGTCCTTTAGCCCAGGTGTCGGTGGGGCTGGCTCCCCTGGAGACTGGGGGGCGGGGGGCCTGGGCCCTGGCTTCCAGGTGCTGCCCGGCTTTCTGGGCCCTGTGCTTCTCGCAGCTCGTCTGCCTCCCTCGTACATGGTCACCAGGGTAATCCAGGATGACTGTCTCCTGTGAGGGCATGTGGAATGCGAGCCTTTGCCACATCAGGTAACGTAGTCACGATTCTAAGGGTTGGGACGAGGGCACCTTGAAG